TAGGGAGTTGCTAAAGCAGTGACAGAGTTTCTGTAGCCCGTATATTTGCAGGTAGTTTTGCCGGCGGGACGAAATATGTTGTTTTGGGTCTCGGACCACTATAGATTTTTGGCTTTTACGGAATGAATTGGAATTTTTTTAACTGCCTGACTGTTGCACATGGGATGATTTCATTATAAATTTGCAATGGTATGACATATATGTTCTTAACAAAATGTGTTTTCTTTTTCCAGGTTGTGTAGTTTGGGATCAGATTTATCAGACATATTGCTTGTAGGACACTGACGGCAGAAACTTGAAATTTAGTGTGGAGTGCTACCTTAAGGTAAAATAAAAGTTTGTCAATGCTTGTTTTTTCTCATTAAAATTTGTGTAAATGCTCTATAATACACACTGACTACAATGATGATGAAATTTTATAATAATATTAAACACAGTGCCAGAAAGTCAGCTTTAAAAAGGGGAGGTAACTCAAATGCCAGAAATTCCTTGTGAAATGCATTTAAGGTGCTGTGTCTGCTGTCTGCTTCAAGTGATAATGCCTACTTATTCTAGGAGATACAGCTATAGCAGAATGCTAATTTTCACATATAGAGCTATGAAGATTAAATTAGATGATGTTTTTTTGCTTTGTATGACTTTTTAATGAGGAAAAAGGCATGCATTTAATGAATTTCAGCTGAATGTGTAAACTATGGCCATCCGAAGTGTTTCGAGTGATGCGAAATTATTGCATGGGGGTAAATTTTTGCTGGAAATCATTTTTAGGGGCAAGTGGATTTAAAATCTATGTTTTCTGGTTAGTTTGTGACCATTTTAAAGCTGAGCGAGCAAGATCGATTAGTCGGAACATTTGGTTTTTGCACTGTCGCTTGGTGATTTTCGTTTCCCTAGGAGACCCACATTGTGATGTCTACAATTCTGTGAAGGCCCTGACATAGGCTTTGTCTCTTTGGTTTTGACTTTACACATAAACCTATATGAACATGGTGCATGCCAAATAGATTTTCTACCAGTGTCGGACTGAAAAAACATAGCATATGTTAGTGTCTGGCAGGAACATATTTGATGTATTCTGTGCTCCCCCCCCACACACACAGTGTCACATGAAGCCAGTTTATTCTTAAACTGTATGGCAATTTATTGAATATTTCTTCCATATCATATGACATAAGGATATATTTGTGCAAATTAGTTGTATAAAGAGTGAAGAACCCATTTTGTCTACACCTTACATTGGGAATTCTTTCTTTTTCGACATGTACTAAAAACAGAGTGCCGAGGGCTGAAAATGGGGCAGACGGTATAGTTCATTAAAGGCACATATAAAGATAAGCAAACAATTCCTAGCAAAGTTAAATCATTTTATTTATTGAAATATGCATAAAAGTCTGTATAAAGTTTAGCAATCAATGTTAAGGTGCTCCTTAAGGCAGCACACCACACTAAACTAAGCCACAGCTTCGAATGGCCAGGGAGGATTTCATGGATATAGTGACTATTGTGGATTTAAATGTCTGGTTGTCTTTAAAATGCATTTTCAGCATGAAAATTGTTTTTGTGACATGTAATATGATCATTGGCAAATTCGAAAACATGGTTAGAAATCGCATGCTGTTAATTATAGATGTCAAGGCCGCCATTGTTTGTAAACATTGCTTTTAAACAGCATGCTCGGTGAAAACAAGTAATTTTACAGGGGGGTACAAACTTTCAGCAATAGCAAAAAATCTACAAGGCCAAGCACCTATTTCTTTGTGATATTTTGCATGTATAGGGAGTTGCTAAAGCAGTGACAGAGTTTCTGTAGCCCGTATATTTGCAGGTATTTTTTGCCGGCGGGACGAAATATGTTGTTTTGGGTCTCGGACCACTATAGATTTTTGGCTTTTACGGAATGAATTGGAATTTTTTTAACTGCCTGACTGTTGCACATGGGATGATTTCATTATAAATTTGCAATGTTATGACATATATGTTCTTAACAAAATGTGTTTTCTTTTTCCAGGTTGTGTAGTTTGGGATCAGATTTATCAGACATATTGCTTGTAGGACACTGACGGCAGAAACTTGAAATTTAGTGTGGAGTGCTACCTTAAGGTATTACCATCCTTATGCATTACCTCCGCTTTGAAGAGTATTCAAATAGGCCAGAACTACTGTTAACTACATTGAAAATGAGGGCCGTGGGTTCAACCCCCAGAAGGGTCACTTTTTTATTTCTTTTTTTCTTTAACATTATTTATGTATCTCTCATGCCCCATTTGGAAAGAAAAAAGTGTTTAATTTTAATTTTTTAACTTATACAGGTATTTATTGGCTCAATTGTGCTAAATCTAGTAATAAATATGGTACCTGATATTTTCAAAGTGTAATAAAATCAAAACTAGACGGTAAAAGTATTTCATATTTTACAAGATCAACCAATATTTTTACAAAAATTTAGGGAAACTTTAAAAACAGGCACTTATTTGGGTAAATTTGAAGGATTTTTAAAATTAGGCTCCCTAATTAGGAAAATGGTCAGACACGTGGTTAAAAATGGGTGGGGTAGGGTAACATTTTTATACAGATTTCATAAATTTTAAATAGAAACCATAATTTTGCTTATGTAGATTGTTAGCTGAATGGTACTTTTTGTTTCTTACCAAAAATTAATAGGAAACAGTTTTCATTAGAATGTTATTGCAGATTATTTAAAGGTCCCTCATTTCTAACAACGGGCCCTCATAACATCCTAGCTTGAGTTCAGAAAAGTGGCCAAAACTTGATTTCTGTACGGTAAACTTTGTTTAAATTTTGCATACCGGTGTACTTTAAGGTATATATCCGACCTATGATGTCAATATTTTAGTTCCTCATAGTGCACATTAGGGTCGTAATACCTTAAATAATCTTAATTTAAATTTAACCACGGAATCAGATCTAAATTGTTGTATAGATAGACTTTAAATAAAATGTAATCATTGTTTTTTCTGTAATGTTAAGGTGACACCCACGGAAATTATTATGCTTACCATTGAAATTCAGAGAAGACGTATAGGAAAAAGCCAGTGCGTCTTAAATAGAGCGACCTAGACTACTGTCGATTTTTCCAAAAAAATACAAACACTTTTTATTACTTTCTTTTACGTGCATTTTGCTATACACTATGTGCCTGAAACAACTAGTAACTTTTACTATACTACAAAAAAGTAAAATTTCAGATGTCTTAAAGAAGTTTGCTTACGGGACCCGGACTAAAGTTGAATAAGTTTTCAACAAATTTCCTCAAAACGTCCATTCAAGAATTAGTCACATTTTACATATTTCATGGAAGCCAACTCCGATCTTACACTTTCAGCTATATTTTGAATTTGATTGACCTGTCAATAATAAAGGTAATTCAAAGTCATACCTTGACACGCAAGAAACATGTTGATGTTTATGTTTCCTTAGAAGCTGTTCAAAACATATCCCATAATTCCAATAAAATAAATATATCACCACACACATTATAAAGGTAAAACGTCACAAGAGGTTCTGCATCATAAAGAATATGAAATAATGATCCAAGGCCGCTGAAACGATAAAAACTTTTAATTTTATAAATGTGTTTATTTTGCGAAAATTTTTATATCTTTATTCTTTTTCAAATCTTAACCTTATAAGATCACAAAGTTCATGTCTGCAACTGAAATAGTGCACATGTCAAAAGAGTTACTGATTGCTATTGCTAGGGATGTCAAACGTGACTATAGAAATTTTTAACAAAATCAATGATTGCTATGGAAGTCATTAGCTGCTAGGTAAAAAGCCAATGGTTGCTTTGGAAGTCATATATTGCAATGGAAAAACAATGATTGCTACGCAGAGTCAAAAGTTAACTTGTATACTTTTGTTGCTATGCAAAGTCAATGGTTGCTATATACAAGGAATAGCTATGGAAATTACATGTTACTTAAGAAATTCAAAGGTTGGTTTAGAAGTCACAGGTTGCAATACAAAATTAAAGGTTACTATGCTTGTACGTACACTTGATAATGTTTCATAACAAATATGTAAGTATTATCCCTTGTGTTTACATTGGATAATTAAAGTTATTCCTGTAAATATAACACGAATCTTATTGACCAAATTCAGACCCCAAGGCTTAAGTTGAACACGCTTGGTTCACATGTAGAAGTTAATAGACTTTAAATTACAAATGCGTATCTTTAACATATGACATAACAAAAACATCTTACTAAAACAATAAATAAATTACCACTTCAGAAGTAAGAATTAAGAAAACTTTTTTTGATTTTTGAATTAACACAAATTATTAACATCAATATAATAGAAGCAACTCTTATATAATTTATCCAAAAAAGAAAAAAAAAACAGAAAGTTTAATATAGATTCACTTTATTCTACATTAAATTTTACTACACCATAGATCTATGAATATATACATGTATGCAATGGTTCGAACTAGGTTTAGTGTAGAGGTTGTGGTACCAATTAATAAACACATGCCATGTATACATTGTGAAATAATCGGATAAATTGTCTATGTTAAAAATGCTTCATTTGAATTATAAAAATAATCTAATTCAAGAATAAAAAAACAAACATGGGAACTATTTAGTAAGGTGAAAGATTTATATAAAAGATTTTATTCAATATAAGAATATTGTTAACTGTTAATGATCTTTTTCACTTCTTACATATGCATGTATAATAAAAAAATAAAAATAAAGATAAAACATTCAATATAAAATCACTTACCTGTGAAATATTTCCATATCCTAATCCAACTTTTATATCCATTTATTTCCGTAAAAGTAATAGTTGAATTACATGTATTTCTATTATTTTAAATGTTTTTATTTATAATCAATTGTCAATTAATACTGAAGTACATATATGTCCTACTTGAAGACTATTGTATTTCGAAGAGCCGCCATTTTGTTTCTAACTGTCCATATTTAAATTGTTTTTTTTTTTCATTTCAAAAGTATTGAAGTAATTTCTTCAGTTTATTTCACAATTTTTTTTTCTTGTCTATTCTTTGCTTGGTTTTTTATTGTTTTGAACTCAAATGACCCCCGACAGCTGTCGCTGTCTTGCATCACATGAAAAGTTTGTGATCTCCGAATATTTTCTCTAACACGGTCATATTCAGTTCTCGGTGTAACGGCGGACATCACTACTGTAACTGACTGTGGCAGATCTTCCAGCACGGAAATAATGTTCTGTAATCTTCCTGCAGACATTTCTATATTCACCAACTCCACACGTTCAATATTCAACATATCACGTGACAGTAACAATGAAACTTCATCTAGATTGATCCAACACAACGTAACATCAACTAATGACGGTGTTGATATATTTAATTGTAGCCTCCCAGGTAACAACTGCAAGTATAACTTTGACAGTGTTGAATGTTGAGACAAATCCAAGTTCAAACTCTTACAGTCATCGTCGTCATATTCGTTACAGTCTAACCTCTTCAATGTTAACTCTTTCATTGATTTTTGACTGGAGATAAAATTGAAAAATGTGTCCAGTATTTTGTGAGATAACTTGAAGCCTCTTATATGTAAAAATTGTAAGTTTTGACATCGCGTTTTCATGTTTTCACACAGATTTTCTTCATCATTTGTCCATTCACCATTCCACAAAGTAACGTTCTGTAAACTGGGAAACAATATCCGGTTTATCTTAGCCTCCTCCAACTTGTTACCATGATAGTAAAGTTTCTGTATATGACTGAGATCTGTGAGAGAGAATAAATCTATAATTTCACGTAAACTGCTGGAAGTACGTCTGGTGTTTATATAAAGTGATTTTATGTTGGTTTTATTTTGTTTTAACAAACGTTGTAACTGCTCACTTTGTACGGTGTACCTGTCAATGAAGAAATCTTGTAAACATAATTGAATATTTTCACTTTTAGGCATTTCTTGTAAACAAGACACGAACATTTCCTGTATGTTATACAATGGAGTATTGTACAAGCCACTGTCACCTGTCCTAGTTCTATAGTCGCGTGTTTCCTGGTCTTCATTTATCACAGACATCAAATCATTTGATATTTCACACATCAGGTCAACATTCATTTTACTTATAAATTCACAACTTTTTGACATGTCCAGAATATCTTGAACATTTCTACATTTATGTAGAAGACTGTGCGAACTTATAAATATGGCGGCAAAGAATTCTTGCACTGTTTTGTGAGAAAACGAAACTTTGATAAGTTCGTTGATTAAAGTTTTACTTCTGCTTTCTGACAGTATTCCTGAGAGAAGACTTAATTTTATGTCGTCTGCTTTGAGATATTTTTCGGCAACCGTTCTATCAAAAACCAGCGTATTTTCTGTTGTTTCGTTAAATATAGTTTGGTAAGCTAGTTCTGCTAATGATGTTATAAGACTGTAAAAATGTTTACAACATTTATGACTTTTGAAGTATTCTGGAATTTCACTGGCAGACGATTCACGAGATGGTTGAACTTCCGGGTGTTTCCTTGACGTTCTCGATAATAGAAATTCAATGATATTGGTGTAAATTTCATGTTTTGAATTTCCTATTGTAATGCTGTTACACCATAAGCAAACTATATACATGAGTAGGAGTGGAATCGCTTGCATGTGTTCTAGGCGACGGTCACGTATCACGTTATTAAAGTCCTGTATTTTACTCTTTAATACTCTATCGTTATGGACACCTGTCATTTTTCTTATAGCATTTTCTTCTAGTTGCCGCGTAGAATCTGCACTTAATTGAACCAATTCTACTTTTTTGTTTATTTGACAAGTTTTGAGATCTGAAACTCCGAGCTTCCACGGTCGGGTTGTCGTTAGAATAACACAAGTATCACGTACGTACCGATGTGGAATTTTTGCTGTGACTTCGCTACAGCTGTTATCAGGGTGAGTCCATTCATCAAGACCGTCCAATATAATCAAGCATTTTTCTCTGCGTAAAACTTCGTTTAGTGATGTTGATGAAGGAAGTTTCTTAGTAATTTGCTGTTCAATCATATCGTCAATGTTACAAATAAAGGTACAGTCTCTTAAGAAAACCAAAAATAAGAAATTAAAGTCAAATAAAGTTTTTAACTCATCATCTTTAAAACAGGCGTAGTTTTCATCGTGACAATGAGCTTGACACCACGTGATTGCAAGATATTTTGAGAAAGCAGTTTTTCCAAAGCCTGCATCAGCTGATAAATAAATTTCTTGCTGATCTGCACTTCTGTTTGAAAACAGGTCTTTCAAAGACTTCATCGGAGTTCTCTCCTCTTCGTGACAAGTTAGGGACATCTGTTTAACCTCGACTATATCTGGCATCACGTAGAACCCAGCTAGAGGTGTCTCTATTTCTTCAAGAAGTGGTGAGAGAGGTATTGAACTACACCTTTTTCTGTAGAATTTTATCAGGTCGGCTTGAAGTTCTGAAAAGACAGCAGAAAAAAAGGTTAATCAGTGACAATCTTTAATTTTGCATGGTTTGGATCAGATTATGCATACGGCGAATAAGAAGTAGATATATAACACTATATTCAGATGCTATGTTTAACTTAACAATGCAAAACTTAAGCTAAATTCTGTTTTAATAATTGCATAAATTTATATACAAAACGAGTTTTTTCCATCGATATATTTGATTCATTGTATGCTTGAAAATAAACATTTTCCTTCTAGGGTTAGGGAAAGGGTTAATTTTGTACCTTCAGACAAGAGGACTTTTTATTTTTTACTTTATGTACAAAGTGACTGAAAATCAATGACCCCTTGGGCAGGGCCAATTTTGACCCCCGGGTTATAATTTTAACAATCTTGCTAGAAGTTAACTTCACAATGTTTAATGCAATATATCTAACCTCTAGCCTTTGTCAATTTCGAGTAGATGATTTTTTAAGTTTTTAATATATACATAAACAGAAAACCTTTGACCCCCGGGGCGGGGTTAATTTTGACGCTAGAGGCAAAATTTGAACAATTTTGGTAGAGTACCTATAGAATAATATCATATAGCAAATATCAAAGCTCTAAGCCTTTTACATTCGGACAAGAAGGTATTTTAAGTTTTTTTTTTGTACATATTGTGAAAATCAATGACCCCGGGACGGGGCCAATTTTGAACCAATGGCTATAATTTGAGCAATCTTGGTAGAGGTCTACCATACAATGCCTTATGCAAAATATCTATGCTCTATGCCTTGTGGGTCTTTACAAGAATATTTTTTTAATTTATTCTTATAATTCTTTTTGGTTGCCATGGCCACAAGATTTCTGCATGTAATGACATCTTTTGAACAACTTCGGCAGCTCTTCACCCAAGGATGAATCCTGCCAAGTTTGGTTGAAATTAGACAAGTGGTGTTTCACAAGAAGATTTTTAAGTTCACTATATAATCCATAGAACACACGCACACGCACGCACATGCACACACTCGCACACACACCAACACACACGCACACACGCACACACACACACACACACACACACACACACACACACAGGTGAATCGCTATATGGCGATGCACCGCAGATGCTGTCTTGGCATAATAAAAAGAAATCAAATTTAGGTAATGAGGGTCATATTTTACCATGCACTTGGGGTATTCCAGGTCATTAGTCTGAATGTTAATTTTGCTTTAAACCCAGTCAGAGTTGGCTTATATTTTTTATATTAAAGAGTTATCGGAATATTGTAAAGGTTGGCTTAACCTGTCTGTTGTGATTATATGTCTGACTTTGGGACAGCTTTACTTAATGATTTTATTTATGTCTTATTTACATGTATGTTATGGAGGGACACTGGTTTCAATTTCCAGGCAGAGTCAATTCCACTACAGACTCCAAATAGAGTAGGTGTTTGCTTGCACTCTTGAATAAATTTTTGCACTAAATTTCATTATGGCTGAGTTGGTAATGGAACATTCCAGAAATGAACATTTCCTACCAGACACGTCGAACCAGATTTTGGGACACTTCGGAACAGATGATTGGACATTTCGAACCAAGTATTTGGACACTTTGGTCCATATTGAACACTTCGGACCAAACTTTTAGACACTTTATATTTTAGTATGGGATTATCGGACCAGATTAATTTTTGTTATAAACAAGTTTATCGTTATAATAACGAAGACATGAAAAAACAACGAGGTTTGGCGAGTTCCCAAGGGAACCGATTGCCCGAGGGTTGGGATTTCCGTATCTTCCACCTAACCCAATGATTGATTATTTTTCTTACTCACCTGGACACACAAAAAACTTTAAATTAAAATCACTACTTCTTATGTGCATTACAACCTTGTTTGAAAAGCGGCTTAGGAATTCAGTCCATACTTCAATGGTTGACAAAAAGCATTTTACCCTTAACTATTTTCAGTTATTTTGGCAAAATATTCAATTAAAGTAAATTGAAATAAATTTAATAATTCGTTATCAAGAAGCAACGCTATCATTACAAAAAATCATGAATGTTATCAAATATCAGTTTTTACAAAGAATTTCGCAAAATATTAAGGTGTCTATTTTTAGTAACAGATCGATAGGAAAATTTCGGACCTCGGTAAAGTAGGACTCATTGAAGCGTGAAAGATATTATCAATTTATTTCTTTTCCGTAGATAATGTCATACTTTTGTACATTTGGCCCTTACGTTTCATTTTTCAGCATCGCATTTGTCGGAATACGTAAAGAAGAAGTGTTGCACGGGGAGTGAGAGATAAGCCCATGCGACTTTGTGACATCTCGACCCCTTGACACCTCGACCACTAAGATATCTCGACCCATGACACTTAGACCCCTAAGACTCTTAGACCCCTTAAATTGACAGATCAGTTCGACCCCTTATTCTATAATGTACTTGAAGACTTTAAATTCGAAAAAAATAATGTGCATACATTGGTAAATATTGGAAAAAAGTTTTTTTTCACAAGTTTGATTATTATATATAATCTCATAGACATACTGAATTATAAGTGAAATCATATCAAGCTGTTTTTGTTATACATAATCATTCTTCAAGTCAAGCATTTGAATTACTTATTTTATGTAAGGAATAAAAAATATGCACTACATTTAAGCAGAAAGTATATTATGTAAATATGTTTACATACTATCATAAATAACAGTAACTACAAAAGAAATTGTAAACGTTATTTTTTTAGTAAAAATCTATCACTTGTTTTGTAATTTACCCTTTTCGTAGCAAAAATTGTCAATATTTCCAAATGCACTTGTTCATTTTTTTCTCAAACTACTACTATTATCAGGAAATCTAAGGCTTATTGGTTCTTTAAAGATATACTATGCTCAAATGGGATATTTAACAAATAAAATTGGCCTTTAGGGCAATATGCAAGTTTACGGACTGGTTGGTCAGACTGGGAAAGTTATATTGCCCGAAGCGAACTAAACTTGCACTTTGCCCGAAAGGCCATATTTTATTTGTTATATTATACTGAATCTAAACCATTTAATTCATTTTGTTGCTGTCATTTCTACTATAATTTGCTTTCAAATAATAATTTTATTTGTTCAGTGTGTGAAATATCTAGGCGGATTTTTAAAAATTATTTTCAAGAGATGCAGCAAAAAATCATGCTCTTCTTTTAATATTCCATTTTTGTTAATCAAATTAAATATTTAATGTTACTAGGCAAAAACCCGGACTTTAAGAATTTCACAAACTGCATAAATAAAATTTATAATTACATTAAAGACAAAACATGACTTTTGATCAACATGTAATAAATTTATGTGAAACATAACAATAAATTTAGTAAAAAGAATCATTTAACAACAAAATAAAGTATAATAACCCATTTGCATACACTCTTCTATATTTAATATGACGTCATCCACTCCATATAAGAATTGACATTACGCCGTCTGTCAATCAAGCTGGCAGTGGTCTTACAGATAAGCAAGTCGGCGATTGTTATCAGTTTCACGTCTGCAAAATCCGTCATTTTCTTTAGACAAGCTCCTTGTATAAGACAATGGTGCAGCAGAATTAATAATGAAATTATTTTGAGTATTTGTCAATTCAAAGCTATTAAGTCGGTATATCAAAGTGACCAACTATCCTGACATATTGGCAGATGGAGTCAGTTAGTCCATTTTACAAAAAAAAAATTAAACATATCAGTAACTTTGTATATATGAAGATAAAAAGTTATATAGCAGGTACAAAAGCAGAGACTTGGCTATTATCTAGATGTTATCTACATCTCTGACGAAAGTTAAAATAGAGAGAAATAAAGAATCTCTAAAGAATGTACAAAACGACAAAATTGAAAATGTTGCAGGCTCGGTTTGATTGATTTTGATGGGGATCAGAGGTTATGAAGCCTGGCTATACCACAATTCATTAAACAAGGAAAAAGTTTAAACAAATACTCTATTCCTTCCTTTATTACAATTATGTCTATTCATAATCACATACTACATTATAAGGTGTGATATGACATTTTTTTGTTCCTTTATAACATAGTGTCAATAAAATGCTGCAGGAGAAAAAAGCACTTGCAAATAAAATGAGAGACTATGCAATGAATCTTTTATGTGAAATTATCCTGCCAAAATATTTCTATAAATGCTCTATGAATTAAGATTAAATATTTAGTTACATCTGCTTCAATAACATCATACCTGATCACGGTTTTAATTTAAAACCGAGGTCTCACCGTCTGGTATGGAATACCGTAAGTTGGATATTCAAATAACCTACTACCTACTAGCTGGTAGTTGATTATTCTTAATCGCCCACTACCTACCTGCAAGTAGTTGGTAATTCGAATTTTGCATCTTTCCCTTAAAAATAACACAACAACAACAAAAACAGGGGAATCAGTTGGCTAAAATACAATATGCTGACCAGTTACACTTATATTAGGATCTGCTGTTAAGTTAATTTTAAAGTGAAAATTGTTGACCACTTATGTTAGATATATGGAAAAGATTATGTGTTGACGTAAATTTCTAATTACATGTATCTTTATTTACAATGTAAGTAATATAATAAATTATACATCTTACAAAACAATGAAACCACTGATGACGATCTATGAATATAATTTGTTTGTCTTTTTTATACAAGTAATAAACAATGATTTTATTTTTTTTGCATCTTTTAAATGTCAACATAAGATCATTTTCATCTGAAATATTTCTATTACATTGTATATTAAAGTTTCACACAATTTATTACATTTTCCGTCTATGTATAACTCTTTCAGTATTTATATATAAAATGATTCTTATTATTAATTTATAATTTTATTTAAACATTATTAGTATACAGAAAAGAAACAAACAAAAAATAATAAAAAGGAAAAGAAAAAACAAGAAAAAAAAATTATTGACAAAAGTAAAATTATCCCATATTCTATAACGTCAGCTTATTCGCCAGCAGTTTAGAACCGTCCACCAGAAGGCGATAGTCGACATTGCGATAACGCGATGACGACAGTGCGACGATGCGATGGTGATAGTGCGATAATGCGATGACGACAGTACGACAATGCGACAGTGCAATGACGACAATGCGACAGTGCGATGGCGACAGTGCGATAATAGTATCGCTCTGTCGTCATCGTACTTTCGCGTTATCGCATTGTCGCCATCGCAATGTCGCATTGTCGTCATCGCACTGTCGCATTATCGTCATCGCTCTGTCGTATTGTCGTCATCGCACTGTCGCACTATCGCATTGTCGCCCTCTGTATTTTAACGTATAACCACGATGGCCCTAACGGTATTCCGTAGTCTGGTGTATGCAAAACTTATTTTGAAGTGAATAATATTGCGTTTTATCACGAAACATATGTTATGTACAAATAAACATATAATCATATATCATACTACAAAGTTACGTAAGGACAATTTTCTCATTTAATTTAACAAATTATTCACAAATGCATAATATATAAGTGATTTCGCACATCAAAGATACATGGGTAATGATATGTTGATGTTCACAATGAATTGCTACGGACAAAAATCACATAACTAGATTTAATTGTGTTTCCCTAAAGTTAAAGTCAATTTAAGTAATCGACCTTATAATGGGACAAACTTTGACATTATGTCATCATTAAATCAACTTTTGTTAAGGAAAACATGGCACAAAATATTGCATACATTTAAGGTTTGTATAAATTCATATTTATCTAAATATTATATCACCTACATTGTGTTTCAGACAAAAACAATCAGAAAAAAATTATAAGTTCTGTAAAAATCGTAATTAATCGATAATCTTGGTCATACGGAGATGTTGTTTAAAGACATATAACAACGACGAACGATGGACGATAAACGACCGAGCTTGCAGTCACAAAAATCACTTATGAACACTCTGTGCTCAGATAGGCTTAATATACAAGTATTTGACTTACCACCTCTGTGTTTGATATACTCTAGACTTAACAATGCACTTTTCTCAAGCCGACCCTCTATCTCTTTTGTGTCCTGTCCATTTTCTGCACAAAGGATCAGCTCTAATAGTTCAGTCTGCCAAGTCTTTTTAAGACGCTCTTTAAAATCTGTGTAACCTTTAGCACCTTTGGATATCACTTTTCTCAGTATCGTTTCATTCTTATCAGTTTGGTCCTTGCCCTGTAATATCATATTTTATTACCAATATTCATAATTGTTTTATTTCTATAATAATTAAATATTGATAACAATAAGTTAGTTTAAAGCATGACATAAGATTATTCCTCAAATGCTACAGTTATTATACTAAAATCAACAATAAAAATTAAAAAAAGCATTGTTACAAGTATCATCAAATACTGACAATTGTATAAAGTAAACTAGATAAAACTGGCATACAAATTATTTAATATCGTACCTTGATATTCTTTCTATCTACGACGGTCAGTAATTCAAAGCCTGTGTCACAATCAATTATGGGATCAGGATTCAAATACTTCTTTAGTGCAACATAGTTCTTAACTATGAATTTTCGGCATTTCACAACATCAGAAGACTCTGCCATCTCTAGTCCTTCTAAAATACAGTTTGATAATATATCATTCATTAATTAATCTACATATTATGCAGTATGGTTTTCTTGACGAAATGTTAAGTGTATTGATGTTCAATTCACTTAAAAATGATTCAGCTTCGAATAACAATATGTTATATAAGATATATTCTACAGCCCGTACTTAATTCTGTGGATTCAAATACCTTACTATAGGTATAAGCCATATAAGTTCATCCCATAAACAACGTAAAGGGGAATATTTATGAGTCAGCTTGTCGGTCGGTCAGTCCGCATCATGGTTTCCGGACGATAACTAGAATTTGGAATGAGGTATTGTAATCAAACTTGGCATACAGTGATATTATGTGGCGACCCCGTTTGGTATTGCATATGGACCCCTAGGGTCAATGTCACTGTTACTAAAAATAGAAAAATGGTTTCTAGACAATAACTAGAGTAAGGAATGTCATAATGTAATCAAACTTGGTTTATCGCAAACTTATATGAAGACCTCGGTTAGTATTGAAATTGTACCCCCTGGCATCAAGATCAAGTTTAGCTTTTCAAAAGTAGAAACAATGGTTTCCGGACTATAACCAGAGTTAGGAATGACATAATGTTATCAAAATTTGTTAAAGCAAGTTTATATGAAGAAGCCCGGTCAATATTGCATTTGGACCCTCTGGGATCAAGGTCAACGTCTACGTAACTAAAAATAGAGAAATGCTTCCGAACAAACTGGAGTAAGGAATGAAATAATGTTATCCAACTTGGTTTACAGCAAGCTTATATGAAGACCCCGGTTAGTATTGCATCTGGAGCCACTCTGGAAAAGGTCAAGGTCACCGTTACTAACATTAGAAAAACAGTTTCTAGACAATGACAAGAGCTACGAATAAGATATTGAAATTGAACTTGGTATAAAGCAAGCTTATATGAAGACACCGGTTGGTAATTCACGTGGTCCCCCTAAGGTCAAGCTCAAGGTCAGCGTTACTAAAAATAAAATAAAATGGTTTCCGGACAATACATTGAGTTAGGAAGGAGAAATTGTAATCATAACTTGGTTTTTAGCAAGCTTATATGAAGACCCTGGTTGTTTTGCATTTGGCCTCCCTGGGGTCATGGTCACCAATACTAAAATAGAAAAAAGTTTCCACACAATAACTAGAGTTATAAATAAGATAAGATTCATTGACAAAGGCGGTAATTTCTGTTAAAATGTGTACTTTTGAAGGACAGACAATTCCAACAAGATAACATTTTATCGGAAAACCTACATCTATCTCAATCAATTGATTCGTCATATGCCATTGCAATGTAAAACTCTTTGTGAAGAAATATTCGCGGGTTTCAAATTTTCGGCATTTTTGTGGTGATATTCACGAAAACAAGGAAGCCATTGGCACCAAAGCGCTCACATTAAGACATACAGTTATTTGATTAAAGGCCACTTTTAACAATAGGGGTGTCGGGAATTGATAACGTCATTTATAGCTCCTTGCATAAAGTGACGTCCCGCGCTTACGTTAACGTCACTTCCGACTTAACATTGTATTGTTGTTTATACTATATATAATTGTTGATCAGTAAAGGTCGAATCTGGAAACTACAACGCATTTTGTTTAGTTACTATACACCCCCACATTGTTGGTGCCGTGAGAAATTCTACAATCACAATGAATTTACAGAAGCTTATTTCTACTAGAGAGGGCCAGCGACGTCTTATTTCTAGACAACTGGAGAAATTTAACGACGAGTTGTCACTTTCGGAGAAGTCAGCCCTGCTCCAAATCATGGAAGAAAAAGGCGAGATTATCAAGAACCTCAACGATAAGGTTGTTAATCATGCAGATATTGACGATTTGGAAACAGAATCGGTAGAGAGTGACGAATATTCAATTGATTTACGTTTGAAACTACGAAAACTGAAGGAAGATATTACCAAATCTAATAACACTGGCAGCGGCAGCGTGATCCGTAATTCACAGGACATTAACGGTAGTGCTAGAACTTTATCAAGTGAGAACTTTTCTATTCATAACCAAAGGGTGTCGTCTGATAATTCATCTTTTCACAGACTACCTAAACTGAGTTTGCCTACGTTTGATGGAGATGTTGAAAAATGGCAGTCATTCTGGGACTCGTATGAGGCTGCTGTACATTTGAACCAAACACTATCTGATGTCCAAAAGTTCAACTATTTACGTTCCTTACTACAAGACACTGCATATACCGCCATAGCAGGTTTTCCATTAACTAACGGAAATTACCAGAATGCAATAGATTTGTTACAAGAACGATTCGGACAGTCTCATAAAATAATAGATAGTTACATGCAGTCGCTTTTTGATTTGCCGATTCCAGACAACAGTGTAACGAGTCTACGCAGGTTTCACGACAAAATGGAAAACTTCATCCGGGGTTAGAATTTTTAGGGGAGAGTCAGGGTTCCTATGGTGATTTATTGATACCCATAATCATGAAAAAACTTACCTCCGAAGTACGACGAAATTTAGCTCGAGAACACGGAAATGTACGATGGCACATGCAAGATTTGAGAACCTCTATCACCAGAGAGATAAACATTCTAGAAATGGGCATAACTGACGAAATAAGAGAACCATACTTGCCGACAGCATCATTATTCACCGGAACCGGAATGAAAAAATACCCATCAAAGAAATTTTCGCACACAAGAGATAATGATAAGGGTAAGAAATTGTGTTTGGTCTGTGAATGTGACCCAAAGTCGCTTGATTGTGAAAAAGTTCAAACACGTGAAGAAAAACTAACTATCATTAAATCTAAACGTATGTGTTATAATTGCCTGGGAAAACACCAAGTGTCAGAGTGTCGTTCAAAGTTTCGGTGCAAGAAATGCCAGCGAAAGCACCATTCTAGTATTTGTGACCAACCATCGAATTTCGATATGAATTCACATGCAACATCATTTAAAAGCTCTACTTCCGGTCAAACAGGAAATGCAGGAACTGCTTTACTTCATTCAACTACGCATCAAAGATCGAACATTCTACTCAAGACTGCTATCGCTCAAGTAAGCTCCCAAGACCATACCATAACTAATACAAACATATTATTTTACGAAGGTGCTCAAAGTTCATTTATTACGGAAAAGCTTGCTGAGAAACTGAAATTAAAGCCATGGTAATTCAGATGAACCAGAAGTTCTTACACGATCACACTTAATTTATGGCAGACGAATAACCAAACTCCCTTATGAGGATGTCCTTACATGTTCATTCCCTACGCCAAGTGACCGTTCGTCAGTTATCAAACAGGCTACGATACAAACGAAGTTAATTCACCTCTTCCGGGATAGATGGCGTCACGAATACCTGACAGCTTTACGAGAACGTCATCAGACTACTGGCAAAAATGACCAGACGATATCCGTTGGAGACGTTGTATTAGTCCACAACGATGTTCCCCGCTTATTATGGAAACTTGCTTTTGTTGAAGAACTCGTGCCAGGAAAAGATGGACTTATTCGAAGTGCTAAAATTCGAACTCAAAATGGACTCACAAATCGCGCAATTGTAAAACTTTTCCCCCTCGAAATGTATTAATCTAAATTTTCAAAGGAAAGGTGATACATGAATAAGAGACTGTATTCAATATATTTATGACTGTTTCTTAATTAATAATACTTTATATGAGATACTATAGCAACTGAAGTGTTCAAATAATGGATGTATTACAAACCTTTAAAGAACATTTCGCGCCCCGAGTATGTCGGGAATTGATAACGTCATTTATAGCGCCTTGCATAAAGTGACGTTCCGCGCTTACGTTAACGTCACTTCCGACTTAACATTGTATTGTTGTTTATACTATATATGATTGTTGATCAGTCAAGGTCGAATCTGGAAACTACAACGCATTTTGTTTAGTTACTATACACCCCCACAAGGGGCAAACTTCGAACAACTATATGGTAGGGGACCTATTGATAATATAATTAGCCAAATATCTAAGCTCTAAGCATTCTACAGTCACAGAATATCAATTCTGTTTAGTTTTTACTGTATACAAAAAAGGAAAACCTATGACCCCAGGGCGGCAATGTCTATTCTAGGCAGGGGATTCACTTGTATTTTTTGAGAATTCACCACTAGTTTTTCAGAAGCAGGGGAAATTGTACATAAAGAAAGAAGGAAACGAATATAAAAATGTAATAAATTCTCACTTTTTGATTAATACCCCTGTTGTTTCGAATCCTAGAGTAGACACTGCACATGGCGGGAGAAATTTTGACATAAGAGCTATAATTTGTACAATCTATGTAGAGGTCCATCACATAATGTTTCATGCCAAATATCTAATTTCTAGCCTCTGTCAATTCAAAGGAGAAAATGTTTAAGATTTTACTTTATATACATAAAAGGAAAATATAAAACCCCCGGGACGTGGCCCAATTTGATACTAAGGCCAAAATTTGAATAACTTTCCTAGAGGAGCTATAGATGACAATAAATACTAAATATCTAAGCTCTATGCCTTATATTGGTTCTTGTTGCTGGGTCATATGGGGGTTGCCTTCATTGAACGCCGCCTTTCCTTGTTGATCTTGTTTATCATATCTTATATTTTCAGACAGGGAGATTTTAAAGTTTTAACTATATTTATATAAGAAAAACTTATGAACCCGTAACGGGGCTAATTTGGCCCCAGGGCTACAATTTGAACAATCTTTGTAGAGGTATACTACAAATGCTCCTTGCCAAATATCTAACCTCTAGCATTTGTCAATTCAGAGCAGATTTTTTTTTTAAAGTTTTTACAATACAGAACAGAACATAATTTATTGATTTAGGCCACCATAACAACATAAAATTGTGACATTTAAAAAGATACAATTTATGTGGATACACTCATCAATGCATTATAATAATTCTCACATATTACATTACTGAAGATAAAATGTACACGTATATTAATCAAAACTGCATATTAATCATCTTTTTTATCGAATTGTTGCATGGTAAACATA